TGTCTTATGTAGACAATACCAGTGTCTTATTGAAAGACAATTTGTGATTTCCACAAACTTGCTAGTTTGTCTGAAATTACTTGAGTGCAACATTTTTGGACCAAAACTGTCCTTATTCCAGGGCTAAAGATGTTGACCAATCAGAAGCGAGGAGATTTCTACGGCGTGGTGTCAAACTGGGATTTAAAGAGGAAACGGGAGCTTGGGATCCACCTGCTATACCGAGCCATGCAGATATTCCTGGCTGAGGGTGAGAGACAACTCAGACCAGCAGACATTAGGCAGTAGAAACCCTATAGGAGTAGGGAGGTGAGTGAGGTACTATTAACTGCAAAACACCACCACTGATATGGTGGAATAGCACTATATTGATGGACATCAGCTACATGAGTCGCATTCAACTCTTTATCAGGGATGGTTCTTTCTCCTAAAACCAACACAGTTTTCTTTTTTTAATGTAGCCTGAACATACAGTTTATCCTTTTGCAGAAACTGTATAATGTATTTTTAGACGTGTTCTGTTTTAATAAGCGTGCTCTTTATACATTTTCAATGGATGTTCTGTGATGAATTTGAGAAACTCACAATAACTTTGTCTTAGTTTTTTTTTTACATGTGGACAAAACAATTCTATTGCATTTCAGCTTTCTGGAATTATGACACAACTCATTTTGAAAAATGTTACTCCTTAGGTTTAAGCCCTATTTTCACTTATAGGCCAGTGCTTTTTTTTTTCAACGGTCACAGTTAATGAATTTCAAATTAACTTTATTTTTTTACATAGCTTAGTGATCATAGCTTGCATTAATTTAGTTTTGATTAAAAAGAAGTTAGCTAACTGATGTATCAGTGAGCAATTATATTTTTTGAAAGGATAATGAGGTGTAAAAGGAGAAAATTATAGCTTGAAAGTAGATGATAAGATGTTTCTGTTTACTGGAATAACTAGTTTAAACTTTGTTCCTATGTGAAATATCTCAGGGGTTACAGCTGTTACTTGGTGTTATGATCTCCATGATTTTACCATCTCATTTACTACACATCAGTGACCTAAGCAGTGAGCTTCCGAATCACTCATTATCTCCACAGGGAAATACGATTGATGAGCTCTCAAAGAGTCTCACACAGCCAAAAAGCATTAGCACTGACAAATGCAGACTTTGTGTTTTAGAATGTTTGCTAAAGTGGCAAAATTAAACAATTGCCACTTTAGTAAATCATATCAAACAATTCAGGTTTTTGTAGGTTTCATTTTACCACTTGATTAATCTAAAAGCTCACTGTTTTAGGTCCTAATAACATAAAAAAAATGTGTGCATTACTTCTGATTTCTTTCGTAGTTTGAAAATAAAGCACCCGGTTTTTGATCTGTTTGATACATCTGTTTGATTTTATTTATCGCAAAATAATGTTTTTATATTATTTCATTCTGACTATGGTGTCCATATCACTGCTTTTCTCCATTTCTTGCACATTCTTTCACTGTTTTTGTAAAGAGGGAGGTATAATGTGGGAAGCTCACATTGAACTGGATCCTGCTCAGTTTTCAGCGTCTGCTTCCTGTTGTTTGGTGTCCCTCTAGTGGACTAAAAGTGACATTGATTTTATTCGTTCACTTTATTGGATAAAGTGAACGAATCTCGCCCTCGATCTCTGGTCACTGAGAAATCATTGAGAAATCCAAACATTACTTGATAAAATAATTTGATCCAATTTAGCGCCTTTAATATTTTATAGCTAAAATTTATTTTGAAAAAGTATTTAAAACCTTCATTTAAATAATCAAAATTTTAGATCTTACAGTCTTCATTTTTCCAGTGATTGCATGTTTTATATTAAATTGGCTTAATTATTTAATGTCACATGCTTCAAACTATTTCTGTGTAATAAGTATGGTAATTCCTAATAAAAATTGCACATTTAAGCAATTAAAAGCAACATTTACTTGCTCCTCTTCAAAATGACTCCTACATCTTGGAAAAGTTCAGCTTTAAAATGGTTTGACCTGAAAAGAGAAATTTTAAAACCTCTTTTCAGGAGCTGAAATGAGATGAAGTCTCATTCATACCTGCATGAAAAGAAAACAGAGTAGAAACCCATCAAACTGTTTTCCTAAGTTATATATGTCTTGCTTAGATTTTATATGTTTAACTTATGCGATTAAAATATTTTTTCTCAATGGTGATCTTAAAGTTAAATTACACAACTTGATTAAATCTTGCAGAAACTCTTAAGCTTTACTTGCACCAGTCTCCCAAAAAAACACCCACGTAAACAGAAATAAACTGTATGCATCCACTTAGTTCTGAAAAATGTTTTTTGTTTAATCAAAAGTGAATCTGTTTTTCAAGAATTGGCTTTCTTTACTGTTAGTGTGACTCATTCAGTTTCAGCTGCAGTTTCTTGGTAATGGTGAGGCAGCACATTCTTACCAGCATCATCATCATCGTCATCATCATTTTCTCCATATCACCACAGGCCCTTTCTTTAAGGCTGCTGCTAATCCTAAAGCAGTGACCCAAATGACGCATTACATAATCTGGTGGAGAGAGGGCTGCAGATCTTGTCAGTCACTGCTTATTGTAAATGTAATTTACTTTTTATGATAATTATGGTGTAATAATGGGATGTGAAAAATCATCTATAATGGTGCGGGATAGGCAGTATGAAATAGAACAAAAATAATATGAAAGCATACAGCCATTTTGAAGAGTCATGACCTCTGAGTTGTCAAAAAGAAAAGGGGACAGTTGATATTTGTGGTCAATATGTGTTTTTATTTCAGAATTAGCACCCTTCAGTTATGTTTTCAAGAAGGTTCCTTCTTGACTGAGCAGTTCAGTGGTCTGCGGGGGGAAACAAAAGCTAGTTATATAACCAGCACAATATTTTGAAATTTAATTGCTGACATTTAGACTGGAAGAGACAACTAAATATTAAGACCTTAGACTTTCTATTGTGCTCCAGTTAAAGTAAACATGTAGAATAAAATGTAATTTCAGCTTTTTTAACATTAAATGCACAGTTGCTTGTACATTGACGTAGAAACTATTGCGTCGCTATGTATGACTGCACCTGCACAAATAAAGCTTGGCAGTGAAACGTAAAAAATATAACAGTTATGCTTATTTTTCTTAGAATTGTCCAACTCAATTAAAATATTAGGATGTGATAAATAATTCAAAAACCTTTTCCAATTATCCTGTTACAATTATTCTGTTGCAATACTGTGGAAACATATTGATGGAGCCTAATTTATAAAATAATATTGTTAAAAAATCTTTTCTAGAAGACATTAGTTTTAATTTGGGTTATAAAATGGCAAATTATATGTGAAGAAAAGCTTTAGAATTACTTAATTGGTCTCATGTTTTTACTTCATAAATTTACTTCTGGTATTTTAATAGGGTGCCATAGTTTACATTTTTATATAAAAAAATAGCTACAATATTTCTAAAATCTTAAGACTAAATCTTGACAACTGCATTCACTTTTTATTTTTTTTACATCTTGGCTTGAGGTGCTTTGATCTGCGGGATTTGCATATTGCAGATAGCTATCGTTTTTATTCAAGTTTCAGAAGAGGAGCTTTGACTGTTAGATCCAACATCATCAATTTCACATGTTCCCCTGGAAAATCAACGAGTATCAACAGCTTCACTGAGAACTGAGAGTGCGATGATTTATTGAAATTTATCAAAGACAGTTAATGCAATGTGTTAAGAATTAGGAACACACAGTGAATTTAAATTCTTATGTATTTTAGTAACTTAATTCCTGGAAACATCACAGAAATGAAGACCACCTGATTTATGCTGTTTTATACCATAACATGTCACCTAGTCCAATTACAGTGTGCACAAAAAATATAAAAAGAAATTTCCATTTAGTCAAAGTTCACAACAAAGTCATGTCTAGCATTTCATGTCCCAAATGTAGTTTCATTGTCTCCTCTTCTGTTGCTCCTAAAGCCAAACTGTCAAGAAGGCAGTTCACACCACCAGCATCACGGTTGCTGAGGGAGGGAGACAGGCGAGATAAATAATGTCATCATCAGCGTGTCGTGACAACATTCCTTGTGACGGTCGGATGAAATCTGGGACACAGTTGCATTCATCGTTCAGTGAGCTCTTCCACAAAGTCAAACCCACCGACAGCAATGAATGTTGATTGTGACCTTTGCTGTGATTTAGAAAGCTGGAGGTATGTCCAGATTATTTTCCGTCCCAAGGAGTCATCAGCCGTTCTTCCTCTGATTTGTATGGTGGGGCTTTATCTTCATCTTTTTAAAATACATCTTGTGATAAAAGCTGTCCACAGGGTACAGTCAACGGTCGATGGTTTTTGTTAAATTACGCTCAAACTCACCGACAGCGTTGAATGTTCACTGAGGGAAGCGTGAACCGGACGGTGACCAGAGATGACAGTCTGCTTTGAAATGAGGGCGAAGCGTGGCTGCTCTGTGGGTGGAGAAACTTTTACCTCGCATATTCATGAACTAAATCTTTCTTTCATTCTTCGGAAATAAACAGAAAAGGTCATGGGAGCTTTACCAAATACAACATCGCGGACATTTAATGATTATGTGCTAACCAATGCTTGAACTGGTCACAGTAAAGCTCAACATTATTCATCCCTATGGCAGATTTAGACATAAAACTTGCTTCATTTGACCAAGAGAAAATAGAAAAGTCTTCTTTTGATACATAAGAAAATATAAAAGAAGTGTTAATTTCATATATAAAGTATTTTTTTTTATTTTAATAAAATAAATAGCATGTAAAAAGTCCTTCCCAATAATCAATTAGAGATATTTATTAGCAATCATATCCTTTTATAATTACTGATAAGAGCTTCTGGTGACAAGATGAGCTCCAAGTCTTTGACATAAAGTACATCACCCTAATTATTAGTTCCTTCAACAGATTCCCTATCAGTTTCAAGTTGGAACTCTGTCTGGGTCACTTCAAAAATAATAACAGCCAAAAGAAACATGTTGATAAAATTACTTCAACCCTAAATCTGCCAAGGGTATCAATAAAATAACTTTATTAGTGGAGCTGTTCCCAGTTACATGACAATAATGTATTACATTGTGGTAATTTTGATTTCAATGTCAAAAACATTTCTTTAAATAATAAAAAAAAAACCAAATGTAACAAAAAAACAAGTGTGCGACTTTGCGAAGATTTTTCCTCCCCCAGTAGTTTCTTCCACCGCAGCCCATAAAAAAAGAAACAACTTTGACTCACCTTTTCTTCAAGTCTTAGAAACCAACCAGTGATGCGAGTGTTATTCAACTTCCATGATATACGGTCAAAACTACACAGACAGTGAGTGCATGGGAACACGTCTTACTTTGCTGAAAGTAGCAGTTACACAAAGAAAGTCATCTTGAAACTCCTGACTCATAGTAGTTCTTGGTTAACAGAGCACCTGGGCAGGAGCTGCTGTTGGCTGTCTTTTTTTCTGTCTTTGCTGTTTTGAAGCAAAGAAAAAACAGCTGCTCGGCCTCTAGAGGAGCATCGACATGCCTCAAAGGCTTCAGCGCAAGTTTGAGGATGAGGGAGAGAACCGGTATGAAACTGCAGACTCACCCCGATCAGTAACGCTTGATGTTTCGTTATGATGTGGTCCCCTGAGTCTGAGGACTGAAAGGCTCAAATGTGCCTTGTATTTGTTTCCTCTCTCTGCACTAATACCAAGAGAGAAACTGTCCACCATCTTAGACAGTGCTGAATCATTGCTCGTCTTGGGAAGGAAAGAAAATGCACAGACAGTAAGAAGCATAAAACGCAAATGCCACAGAGCTGCTGTAGTAATTAGACAGGACGTGACGGCAACTACGCTGGTGAGTCAAGATTCGTTTGGGTGATAAATATTCTGGGATGCTTTAACAGAGCAGGATAAGGAGTGACTAAGGCAAAATGGTTGAATGTGTCACCACCTGCCAATCCCTCTCTAAATACGCCTGCACTAATACAACTTTGATCTAAAAAAGAGTTTTTGCTGTCTTTATTAAAAAGAGTACTAACACTTGTGGAGAAGAGTATGCTGCCTCTTTTTACCCTCACATCTCATGCCACTGCTGTCATTTTATTTGTATCTGACGAAGATCTCTTCACTTCAAAGTAAACCCTCTCCATTCCCCCCCCAAAAAAATCAAGACTACGACTCTGTTAGCTGATGAAACGTATATCTACATAGAAAAACATGGCCAACATTATATATAAACAAATAGTCCTTGCTGCGACAAACCCCCAATGGTGGTGTGAGTGACAGTGTTTGAATTGACAGAAGTGGATGAGAGAGAGTGTAGCTTTATAAGGTCTTTTCTGGCCGCGGGACGGCATGGCTGACAGTGGGAAGAAAGAAACGGGACACGAAACTAAAGAGAGAAGAGCCCTGAGCTGACAATGTGGCCTTAATCTGAATGACAAGGCCTGCACATCAGCCCTCTAACCAGCCTGGGTTGTAGTGATGGTGAGGGGGTGCTGGATGATGTGGGAGCTAACAGGGGGAGAAGGGGATTTAAAGAGACAGAGGAAGAAGGCGGGGAGGGTGTCCTTCCTTCAAACACGCTGGCCTTAATGGTACGGACAGCTCTGACATTTAACCACTGAATCATTTTTAGATAAGTGGATGGGCTGGGGGGAGCTGAGACTTTGGCTAAATATAGGGCGCTTTGAAACACAATAAAAATGATCTTCCTGAAAAAGTTTAGGATTGTTGAAGCAAAGTTCTGTACAAGTTATAAAGCAGTAAATATATCAGAAGTATATTATGCTCTTTTCATCTTCATTGACTATTAATTTATCATTTTATGAACCTCTACACTGTAATTACATATATATTGGTCAGTAAGGCTAATGCTTATTTATAGCAGTTAAAACAGGCTTCCTCTGTGTAACGTGAACATGGAGCATGTAAGTATTTCCAATTACATATGTAACAGAGAAGTGAACCAGTGGTAAAATCAATAAAAAATATACATAACAATTATAAACTGCTTTAATATTTGTGTGTTTTACACTCCTTCCCTTTATATCAGAGAGGTACTCAGAATGGACAAGCTTCTATTCTCAATATGAGTTTCGCACAGGAAATTCATTGGTGTTACCCTTTCATTTCCTGTGGAAATCATTGTCAGCTGCTGTAAAATAACCACTAAGTCCAAAGAGCTCAAAGGTATATAAAATAGGGTTTGCACTAAACACTATGAGATTGGGGTTTCTATAAAGACCTAGAAGTCCACTTTCGTCTTGGCCCTTCTTGGATAGTTGTTAGTTTAAGCACTCGGGGCCAAGCAATCTGAAATTATACAGAATGAAGACACCATGCGAGTTATTTCCAGCTGCAACTGCTTATAGCCTCTTAACAGAACCTTACTTCAAAAAATCTGAATTTTACACCCCGGAAGAATAAGGAGAGAGAAGGATTCAGAAAGTTTGGGCAATTTTAAAACAAGGTGACTAGATGAGGCTGTGACCAAATTTCTTTGTCAATAATCCTCCATGCAGTAGATTCAGCGCCTCTGAGCGGCGATGAAATCAGAACAAAACTACAGAGGATTTTTCTTAGCGTCGAGTAGCGAAGTAAGCGATACATATTGGCACTGATAATGGCCATGTTTCCTCAGCAGACTGGGTGCAAAGATAAAAAGGGGAAAGAAACTAACAAAAGGGAGCCCTGACAATGCTCCAGGAAATCCGTAACGAGCACTGTCAGCGTTTCACAATTAGCACCATGGACCCCGTCAGAACAGACTCGTAATTCCAGACAGACAAATCATACAGGAGGTGATTAAACGCTCCGAAAATTCAGCTCCTTTTGACAAGCTTGTGAACTCACTGTTTTATTTATGTTTTTGTCCCTTCATTATTTTAGTTTTACAGAACGTAGGGACAGAAATGTGTTCGACCAAAACATGGAGCGTCTGCAGAGATTTTGCACCTATTTTTCTCCACCGCTGTCAATCTGATTTCTCTGCGTCGTTTCATCACGCAGGCTAATTTTAGGCTTGCAAGTGTGAGATTTTGCCTGGAGGGAAAATATGCATAATGTTTAAAAATAACATGAAACAGGCAAGGATTCTATGTTAAAATAGAAACATTAAAGGTGAAAAACAAATATTTTCACAAATAACTTAATTAAAGAGAAAATGTAAAACTATTTTTAAAAGTGCAATTAGATTTAAGACATACTGTAGGTTGTTTTCAATCTTTAAAAATATAATTTTTCTACAAAACCTACACATTGAGATGAATGCAAACGGTTAAAAAATGTTAACTACAGCAATTTCAGACTAAATACGGTTAACAAGACGTAGCTTTGAAGAAAAATAGCGGAAGCCGCAGTTTGCACCCGTCTTTCACCTTCAACCCGCTCTCCTCCCAGGAGTTGGAAGAAATTCCTGGTGAGGGTGCTGCGAGTCGCCGCGCTCAGCCTGCAGGTACAGACCGGCCTCCTCTGTCTGCCTGTCTGCAGATATCACACCGCGACGTGATCTGTTTAGCACCCTGACTTAATGCTCACCTGCTTGCGCTCAACGCCCACCTGCTGTGTGTATGTGCAAGTGCGTCAATGTGTGCAGTGTTCATTGTGACCGTGTGTACACGCCGCCTTCTGTCTCCTCACAGCTGGAATGGCGTCTCCTTTATCTGCTGCACTGCAATTATAGACACACACGCACACACAATGATAGATGGATTCCTTCTGCAAGGACAAGATATTTTTGGAAATTATTTGAATCTCCTACAAATAAAGAAGGACTAAAAGCTCATATGGAAGAAGTGAACTAATTAAAGTGCCTAAAAAAAGAAACATAGGATGACTGAATGAAAGATAGACGTGAAACTTGCAAATATGTAACAATTTTGTCAGATCTCAGAATTTATCTACGCACTTTATGACAAAAATCTAAAAAAATAAACATTTTAAAATGAGCTTGAAGCATTCATTTTCTGTGATTTGCATGCAGAGTTTGTCATTTCCCCCTGAGGTTGTCACCGCGCTGACAGATACAAACTGACTTGTACAACCGCACTCACAAAACACACACCAAGACACTTGAGCAGGGGTCTGAGTCCAGCTGGAGGTGGTCTCCTGCCAAACCTGGAGGGAGGTTGACTATCCATATTCATCACACGTACACACTGATTGGAACTGACAGGACAAACACACACACAAGCACACATGCACGCATTCTTACACGCACACAGTTGGGTGAAAAACAAAACAAAAATCTACTAGAGAGAGATTCAGTGGTTAGAATAGGCAAGGTACAAAGGTTGAAAAACAAGTTATGAGTTTAAACAAGTTTAAAGTATTTTTTTTATGGATTGCGTAATACCTCGCTGCCCCTCACCCTTTGTCGACTGTCAGCTGGCTGAAAGAAAGCTACTATATTTTACAAAGAGACAGATTTGGCTGAAAATATTTCACACCAGCTTGCCATTTTATAAAGGTAACACTATTTTCACTGTAATGTTGTCAAGTTATTAGGAACATGACTGATAAGCAAACGACAGTAGTTTGGCTACCGAGCCAGCTTTTTAGTCTACCCCAAAATTTAGCTAACATTTTTTTATTTTAGATAGATGTACTTAATGTGTATATTTATGAATATCAAAATAGTTATTAGTAAATGGAATATGAACTATTACTGTTACATTCATAATGAGGAATACGTTTATTTATGTCAGTGGGGGAAGCTGTTACTTTACTCAAATTAAAGCAGTCTTATGATGCTATATGGTTTAGTTTTGCAATGAACAAGTTTACCCTATCCTGACCGCATACTGGCCCGAGGTGTGGTGAGAATGCAATTGTCTTCTTTGCTCACAGTATTGTCTTTTACTTCTACCTTTTAGACTATTTTATTCATTGTTATGATATGCACTGTAGATTAAAAAATATGGACTATTTAGAAAAAGAAACCGAGGTGTTTATGGTAAATAGACAGCCATGATTGGATGAAGAGCAGAAACAGTAAGTAATGTCAGGAGAGGTGTAGGGTGGGAGAGAAAAAGCGAGAAGTTAATAATAGCCAATGGACTGGGAAGGCAACATCACTGAGAGACATGGAGTTTGGGTACCACTCCTCTTCCTCTTTCTCTCTCTCTCTCTCAAATACACACACACAAAGGCAAAAAAAGAGAGAGACTCCATGGGGCGCTCAATAATAACCTTCCTTGTCATTATCATCGCCAAGCCAAACTGCTCTCCTCTCCACTCCACCACCACCACCTTCCATCTTCAGTACAATCATTGCCCTATCGTTTACAGTGTGCCGCCAAATGGGAACATCAATAGACACATCCATTAGCAGCGTGAGTTCTTTCCTCTCTGATTCTCAAGTGCTTTAATAGTCGCCGCACACACAAATACACACACCGACACACGCACACACCCTCGACCGACTGTTAACCAAGCTGGCCTCGCGCAGGCAAAAAGCTGAACTGATGGAGTGTATTATTAAAGCTTTACTGTGACACGGCCGCTGTGAGGTTGGCTTCGTCAGTTAACCCAAACGCTGGAAATGACCAACGCTGCTTTCTCAACTAAATAGCTCACATTTGACTATTTTTGAATTCAGTTAAACTTCCAAATCTGTATAATTAGCTCAAATTTGGCAGCTCTGGTGATCTTAACTCTTGACAGCCACATTTATTTCTAGATACTGTGGTCACTGAAGAACACATTTAAAAATCTGAAGGCAAAACTAAAATATGCACATTTATTTTTTTGTCCCACAAAACTCCTGAGGAGTTGTAGCCTCTTCAGTGTGTTCCAAGTGGCTCAAAGTGGTAACAGGAAGATACATTTAAAGAGGACAATCAAAGAAACTTAATTAGTATGCTAATTAGTAGTTCATTAAAAATTAAAGAAAAAAAATACCCCTTTTAGAAATTAAAACAAACTAATTATTAGCCTCTCTTTCCATTCATATAAAATCAGACACAAAAAAGGTGGATTCTGTAGAGGCTACAGTCATACCTGATAACCGTAACTACAGATTGAAATCAGTGTGGGTCGCCATAGTACTGACTAATTTAAAAATTATCTGCACTCTGAATCAAGTGAAGCCTAACAAGGAAACTAAGGAAAGGACGTCGGGGGGGCAGAGATACAAAAGAGGGAGGGGTTTCCCACAGAGCCGCACTGTAATTTCGTCTTGAAGGATTTATTTTGGAGGGTGTGCTCGGCAGGATGCTGGGAAGCCTGGGAGGGGCGCTGGGTGGGTTATGCGGGTTGGTTACGGAGGTGTTGTGGGATGTGCGGTGGGGAGGTTAAACTTGAATGGATAGACTCAATGGACGGAAAAAAAGGGGTATAAAAACAGATTTAGATTTCCCTGACGTAAGTACACTCAAAAATATATAGTTTAAAACATCTAGACTTTGAAGGAGAAAATTGGTTTTAAGTCGACGCTATTCTAGTTTGTCTTCTCAATAATTTTCTATAAATGTTTTGTGATAAGTTTCACATTTCATTACTGGAATTTGGCTTTGAAGTAAAAGAAGAAAGCAGCAAAAGATAATGAATGTGTTTTCGTAAATTCCAACTACGATTATCATCGTGACTCTGTGGTCTGTTATTCCTTACTGTAACAGTCTTTGTATGCAAGTGCGTGGGTGTGTGTGTGCGTGTGCAGAAGAGGGGTGGTAGACCGCAGACAGCCTCTAGGTGCCATTGCACTGGGTTTGTGTGTATCCTTGCGTGCCTCCTTCATGTCTGGACCTGGGCAGAAAACAAACAGGAGTGCAGAGTAAATTCAAGGTGTCGTCTGGTTAAAGCATGTTATTAAAATGTTTACACATGCACATTCACCACACTGCATGCACACAAGCGTCAGAAGAGGCACATGCACTCAAAAATAAAAGACAAGATACAAATAGGCGACTGATTTCAATTAGCACACTGCATTTGATGTGTGCGCTGAAGCTAGTGGTTAAAACCGTTTTAAAATTCAAGTTTAAATTATTCAACAACAGATGATGTGCAAACTAGGTTTGCTTCAACTCTGTTAAATAACTCACATGGATTTATTTGTGCAGAAGGCCCACTATGAAGTAGACCGGATCCTATCAACAGCTTAGGTGGTCTTAGGAAGCACAGTAACGGAGCTGCTGGGTGTGTACATTAACCTCTGATTGAGCAACAAAAGGGCCCCACTTTCAGAAACATATGAATTCAGCATCTTTGGAGTCTATATAATACAAGACCCTGATAAAAAACACATGACAAATTGCACATTGAAGTGGCTGTTTTTATCTTCTTTAACAGAGATGCTGTAAAAACTGTGTTCTTGTCATGTGGTGCTCGACACAAACTGAAGAATTTCAGAATTATGAGGGAGCTGGCTGTAATGCGTTATAGGCTGCAGCGCTGCGTCTGACGCTGAAGCAGCAGGATGAGGCCGAGAGTGAATGTGCGGAGAGACAGAATGAATTATCAAAAAGAATTTCTGAGTCTAAAGTCTACAGCTGGCCAGACTGAGAAGGAGGAATAAAATCGTATTGGGTGTATCAGGAGGTGATTGATTGCGTAACACTATGTAGTACGGTATATTTTCTGGGTGTGTTGAACTATTTTAAAAAAAATGTTTTAAAAAGTTACATTTCTTGTTATGCTACCTGAAACAGGTTTGCTTTTTGCAATTATCCAAAGCTATGGTTTGCTTTTCTTTGTAATGCCAGAAAAAATATATATAACATTTTGATTTAGACTTAGTTTTTTGTAGTTGCATTATCTCATGCGGCTTTATTTCATTCATGTGTCATTTGGCTTTTTATTTTTACAGATAACAGACATGGTACTGTGGAGTTGTGGCCAGTAAAGCACATCAAAGTTCCCGTGGAAGTCATATTCATTAGTGTTTTTTTGAAGCTACTTAAGCTGCATTAATGATTTTTTTTTTTTTTTTTTCCCCTTGAAGTACCCCGCTGCTTGTAGTTTTAAGTAGTCCCTCAGAGTCCTTTTAAACATCCATCTTTTCTGGCTTGGGATCATTTCTGCCCTTTGGCTTAAAGAAAAGCAAGTGGTCATAATTAGATATGGCAAGTTCATGCACTCCTTATTAAATATATCTAGAAGTCAGAATATCATGTAAATAAGCACAGTACATATATCTCAATCGCTTCTTTTTATTCTTCATCAAAGTGAGTTGCAAGATGAATACACTTCCATTAGCCATTCTTATCCTCATGTCAATCTAAGTCTTAATCTTGTTCGCTGAATTGCATAGGGGTAAAATTTACAAACATAATTTACAAAATAACACCACTGCTGTAATAAATGGGCCAGAAAATTTCAGATAATTATATCTACATTACAAAACAAATATCAAATTTAGAAAGAAAAACATGCAGAAATTAAATATTCTATAAATATCTCCCTAAATGTGTTTAATGGGTGTCTTGCAGAAGCAGACATGCTATAGAAGTATGGCTTCTCAGCCGGATCTACATTTTCAGAGGAAGAACAATGATTGACCTTCACCATGCGAAAAATTGCCTCTATTGTTCAAACTTTCCTTTGATGTTAAATGCAGGGAAAGAGGGCAGCACAGGAAAGCTGCTCACTGCAGACAAAGGAGAAATTAAACCATTCATGCCAACTAAGAACTTTCATCCTCAGTTCACAATGACGATATATTAAAAAAAAAGAAAAAAAGTCATCTCTGTTTAGGCACAGCCAGTATCAAGGTATATCAAAGTTTGAAAAGTTACAGTTTTAAGCTGCTCCTTTCTCAGCTCTTGCTGCACACTGCTAATCAGCTGGCTGAAATAAGGTTATTACACTCTTTTTCTGGGCACAAGGGCGATGGTTGTAGGAGTTCATCCAGTAAGCGGTTGGTTGACGGTTCAAAACCCTGTCTCAACTATTGTGTCCTTGGACTAGACACTTTCACCCTTCAAAATAATAAAATAAGTGCTACAAATATTATGCCTATGTTATTAAGGTTATTTGAACAGTAATAAGATCAACCCAGCCAGACTATGTTTTACATTTTTGCTTTAGTATTTTTTGTGTGTGTAAGCTTAATACAATGAAATGTGGGGTTTAAATTTAATCTTATAACACCATGAGAATCTCATACCTTTTTCTAGCAACACTATGTTGCTAGAAACAAGGTGTTTCTGTCTCAATTCCTGCTGAGAACAGGGAAGAGTACTGCCATCATTAAAGCCCCAGTATATTCACCATTGTAAGCTTCTTAAAAGAATGGGGACCACCCAAATGTTTGCAAAATAAAATGCAACTGTAAAGATCCATGCTTACCCAGCAACCCAAAGAGACCGATAGACATAATGGTGAAATTAGGATACTTGAATATTTGATGGAACACAGGAAGTTTTCTTTTTCTTTTGGTTAAGGGGAAAACAGTATGAATCAGAATTTCTGGTTAAGCTCTTTTATTGTGGCACTTACTGCTATTCCATTTTTTTAAAATTATTATTAATGTGTCAAAATGCAATTATAAGAAAGCAATTAATATATTGCAACTACTCAATTAAAAAGCTTCCATATGCATGGTTTCCTGTTAAAATGCATCTTTATATTTATGCTGTCATGAACAAAAATAACAGTCATGCAGTCACAAGATGCATAAACCTCCCATTGACCCACGTTACATTTTTGTGCCATTTAACTCAAAAACAAATGTGGTCCAAAGTGATACAATGAGTGGAGAACAACACAGAAAGATTTAAGAGTTCCTCTTCTAATGGGCCACCCAGGTTTGAAATGTACAATACGTGAGAATGTGAAATTTTGAAGACAGAAAAATCCGGACATTTTGTCAGGCTCCCTGGGCTATGAGATCATTGTAAGAACACAAATACATTTCAAAGACCAGAGAGGCATTTATGGTTTTTATGGTAAGTTTACACAGATAAATGTAACCCTTCGGTTTTGAATCATCTGGCTTCTATTCAGAGGCTAAATACAGGTTTGGATGGAGGCTAAAGTTAGCTAAGTGATGAAATGCAGGAGGGTGCACATTTACATTTTTAGTAAAGCGAAGCAGTCACGTTCAACTGCACATCTATGAATGTTTTGATCAGTTCCACTACACCCCGTGAAACAACTGAAGCAGGTAGTGAAGCAGGAAACGTCCAGCACGCCTATGTTTTTTTCCAGGATTACGTTTACGTCGCACCACGTCGCTAATCTGCTTTGTCGGTGTGTATGTGCTTTTACCATGTTGTTCCTGTTTACAATAAAACTAGCACAGGCATGTAGTGCTAGACCACCCAGAAAAGTTACCAAAACACCCTCCCCAAAGAAATGCGCTAGTCTTAATTATATCCATCTTCTGGGCGTAACTTTCAGCTCAAAACAGACATCTGAGCCACCCCTCGACTGATAGTCCACAAACCTCATGACAAAGCTTTATGGAAAGAACGTTTTGGTAAAGACACTTACTTTGGATGGAAACAAACAAGATATATTCTTATCATGTTTTTTTTTTTTTTTTTTTAGTATTCTGATCTTGTATTCATTACATCTTGTGAAGGGACTACAGAAAAAATAATCAAGATATTTAAAGGAAAGGAATGACAGCTAAGTGAAATAAACACCTGCACAATGTGTAGCACTTCATTAACAGGAGGAAAAACATGACAGCTTGTAGATGTGGACACACACAAGAGCTGCAATATGAAAACAACTGTTGAAAGAGGAGGCTGTTGTGACTAACCCGTTCCCGTCTGCGATCTCTAATTTTTATGTTGGGAATATGAGGGGGAAACTGTTTTGGTTGAGCATGTAGAGACTTAAAAAGGCACAAGAAGACACAAGAGGAGAGAGAGTGTAAGCAGACAGGACCTCAGTGACTATCTGCCAGACAAATCCTCCTCGCGCTTTGATCCACTGCCCACTTCTCCCTCTGTGGGTTTTGTCTTCAAGCACACAGCTGTGATGTTTAGCTGAATGCTGCAAGATTTCAAGGCTCGGGGAAGTGGAAATTCAATGAAAATAAATTCCAATATAACAACTAGCAATGCTAAAAATAAAAATAATCAAGATTCACAGCTATTAAAAACATTTTTTCAACATGCAGTAAGGGGACAAAAGGGTTAATCTCTTTGTGTTGTAGTTTGGCTGAGATGCTATCTAAAGCCATTTGTTTCAAGTAGTGAGGCTAATGACCCTGATCTGACTCTTGGCATTAGGCAGGGAGCAAAAGAAGGTAAGTAACCTCATATGTTCTCAGGGGGCCAAGATAATGAGAGGGAATGGGAATACGAGCTACGGTCCATCATCTACTTAGGAACCAGACAGCAGCGCTGTCTTACCACTCTTTCCCACCCCCAGCCAAAACTCGACAAGACACACAAACACAACTCTTCTTCCCCATCCAATTTTGCTCCCGTCTTGTTAGGTAAATGTAATGTGTGTTGCATGCAATCATCAATAAGTCAATAGTCTATTAACTCTGAGACATTGGTATTATTACTGTAAACAAGGACTTCCATCATTAGGATAGCAGCCTGTTTCCATTTGCTTTTTCTTCAGTTTAATCGCTTAGTTGGCATCGCCTGGTCTGCTGGGTCACTTTTCTTTCTAGACCTATTTTACATGTCACAGGATAATTGATGGACTGGAATTTTAACACAAATACATACATGCAAGTGGGTTTTATGAGTGAACTGATTTCTAAGAAGTTTTGGCAAATGCATTATGGTATTTTGATAGCAATAAAGGCTGTAAAATGAAATGTTCTACTTTGATGT